GTGGAGAAGGGTCCTGCCACTTAGAGCCTGAAGGTATGCGGTCATCGCCAGAGCAAGTGTCCAACTTCCAGCATCCCTGAAGCACAGCCAGGGCTGAGAAGGTGGTCTGGGATGTGTGAGGAGCAGACTGTGAACTTTCTCTCCATTCCATCTCTAATGAATGTTCCTTTGTCACAGAGGAGGGTGATTTGTTTTCTTTTCTTTCCCATTTTTCCCGGTTTTTAAAAATTGCTTGCAGTTTAATAAATATTTGCTTTGAACTGTATGTAATTATCAGTAGGTCAAGAGAAGCATCCTGTGTGGAGAGAGCATCTGAGAGTGGGGACAACCTACCCCCTGACCTAAGTAACCATAAGGTTGGGGGTCAAGCACCCCCAGAATCTTGGGCCCAACTTTACTAGGGTTATGGGGACTCTGCCTCACAGGAGAGTGGTAAGGGAGCCCTTGAGGTCAGGGAGGCCTCTGGGTAAAGGAAGTGGGAGCAAGGGCCTAGATCCTTTCGCTAACTCATTTCAATAGGGTAATGTAGAGCCAAGAAAGTTCCCCACAAGAGCAGAACCATTGCCCTGCTTACACTTACTTTAATGACTACAAGTTTTTCCACTCAAAAAATCCTGCACAGATCCTAACAATTGTAGACACAGCTTTGAATATAGGCAAAGTTTACCCAGCTTAGTTGATTCTTACACAACCATGAAGAGTAAAACAACTAAAATTTATTTTTCTGCTTACTTTGTTCCACCAACAAAGTTAGTGTTTCATTACAAGAAACTTCACTATGATTAGTTATCCCATTTGTGCATTCTCCCACTCCCTGACACATACAGCTAAAAATGAAAGGAAGAAAAAAAATTGTTTTAAAGGGAAATGTGATTATAAAACCATAAAAACTGAAAGGGGATATGGGGCAATATATGAAACCAACTCTTACTTCAATCTTCGTCCATTTCAACCAAATATTTAAAATAAAACAACCAAAACTTTGGTTAGGTCAGATGAGAAGACAAATTAGATTCATAAGAACTACTCTTCCCACACGCACTCACTTTAAACTCACTTGTTCATGCAGCAATTGGATAAGTATGTTGCCTCTTCTGCATCTAACAGCCTGTGATTTAGCAACTGAAAGCTATTTACCAGTAATTAAACAAATGCAGCTTAATTTTGTTCACTGATAACTGATTAGCTAACCTTCAGGGTAAAGCTTTTTTCTATTGTTTAAGACTTGAGACTATTTTACAAAGAAACAATACATGACATCATACATCTTTTGGCAAAACAGACAATTATAACTAAAAAATTCCATCTTTAATTGGGAAGGAAGACAGAATGCATCAACCTTGAAAACATATGTATTGTATTGGAAAACCACGTTTAGTTACTATCTATGATATAAAGATAGTAGTCAGTGAAATATAATTAACGTTATCTAGTGGTGCAATTCCTGAAACAGGCTGTTGCAAAATAGTTTTGTTAAATCTATTACTTGATGAAGTACAATCATTACATAACCAAAAGCCTAGTGACTAAGTGTACTGCAACAGGACCTCTTAACTGGATATCCAGCATGAATTGCTACAAAGGGTGTTGAACTTTGATGACCAGCCATGTTCCCTGCATGCCATGCACGGGTGGCCATTCAGGAGAGATTCAAATGCCTCTCAGCTAGGTTTTTTGTTTCTTCTTGTATTGCACAGTCACACATGCCTCAGTGGACATAAATTAATTTATTCTGTGTATGGACAGAAAAAATCTGCACATGGATGGAAGAGATTAGAGGGAACATTGATGACCAGTTGGTGTTCTCTGAATCAACTTTATCAATACTACACAAGGAGGTTTTGGGTGAGAAAGACATTTTTGATAGTAAGTTTTAAGAAGTGAGGCATTTTACCAAGGTCTTCTAGTACAGAATGGTTGCAATCCAGGTATGTACAGAACACAGGAACTTCCCTTTATCAAAATAGTAAGAGTGCAAAGAATACAGGTGTAGTTTAGTCTGTCAAAAGAATTCTTCAATGCCCCATTACAGATTTGAAGAGTAAAGATAAGTATTCAGAAATTCTGAAAGGAGTGCAGTGCGCTCTTTCTAGATATAGTGGACTACTCAATTTGGCTTGAAGCAACTTTCTCCCCAAAGTTTAACTTTTCAGTTTTTTATTCTTGTATTTCTTCTGCCCCCCCATACTTCTCCCATGTCCCTTTGCATGTCACATATCTGTCTTTCCTCCATTCCCTTCCCACTTCTGTATTTTTCCCTTCCCATTCCATTCCTTAGAAGCCCCACATTAGATACCCTCCTTGTGGATGAGTATTTCTAGATACAAGTCCTTCCTCCCTACCATATATAAAATCGATCAATGAACAGAGACATGATAGAATATTGCATTTCATGTTTCTAACTTAACATAAGCAATTCCACCTGTCGTAAATTTCTGATCCCTCCTCCAATCCAGGCAGCAATCCAATTATAAAGGCTTGAAGACTTGGCAAGAGAGACTTCTGCAGAGGAAGAAAATATTTCTCATACAGACCAAGGAGAACTGGCCTCACTGACATTGCTGCATTTGCCAGCAGGGGAAACAAGCCAGAGCTTAAAAAAGGAAAGAAAAGAAAAAAAAATCAGTTGCTTAAAATAATCTATTATGAAATTTCAAGTCTGAGTTTTGAAAGAGCAATTTACCTGTATAGGAATAAGTCTTTGGAAAGCCATTTTGTCCCAATTATTTTAAAGATGATTTCATAGGTCTCTAGTGCTTTTAAATGCACTCCACTAGGCAAAGCTGGATGTAAACACTGAGATAATCTCTTACTGATTATCAGACGTCTTGGCAAGAGGGAATACTTCAGGTTACTTTGAAGAGCCTGTACAAACAGTGAGGAGACAAGGAGAAAGAAGAAACAACAAGGAGTTATTGTACATGCATAACAGCCAACAACTGACCAGTCAACATTTTGACAAATAAGGTTTTATGATAGAAAATTAACTTATTAGAATTAAATAAGGCACTCAAGAGTTTTCATCCACAAAATGCATAAGATCACATTAACAGAGATAACTAGACTTGAAGAACTGGTGTGGAAATGAGTCCAGTAGTAACAGATTTTATTATTAATTATTATTATTATTTTGCACACAACCTGTAAGCTTTTATTTTCATTTCACACACAAGGATGGCTGATTTTGTTATCTCAGCTATACTGAACAGTAAAATGTAATTGGCAATTTTTAAAGAACATGACTACAATAAGCATTAATTAGGGTTGCCAGATGGTTTAACTAAAAATACCAAACAATCCCCTCCCCCCCAAAAAAAACCACACACAAGGGGGATTCTGTTCAGAAACAAAAAGGGGAGAGAGACCAAAGTTGTTGAGAGGGGGAAAAGAAAAAAAGGACCCAAGAGTTAAGCAAAAAAAAAATTAAAAATAAAACAGTATGGCCCCTTTAAGAAAATCCTTTGAAGCTTTTTGCCAGTGGCTATCTTGTTTTTCCTGACTGAGCCAGAAGACAGCTTCCCTACGGAACCAGGTAAGTGGGGGAATCCAGATAGCTCAGGAGACCCCCGTTGCTGAGTGTGTGTAAGGTTGCCAGGTGTCCGGTATTTTCACTCC